GGCTATACACCATAAACAAAATGCACTGATTTATGACCCGAGTTCGGTCTCTGTCACATTATGTAATTACACAGACAGGCAGGTGTGATACTTGTACACATGACATGTTATGATGTCTGTTGATTGCAAAATGTTATGCACAAAAAATGAGCATGTATTTACAAAACCAAACATCTCTATATATACACACACAATGAGCCGTGAGGGCATCTGCAAATGAACCAGCCGTTACACTTGAGTGCACACCCACCTGCTCTGACTGGGTTCGGTATCCCGGCTGCTTCGTTTCTTGGGAAGTAAACCCAAGTACAAAATATTGCACTTTTGATTTGCGATTTTACGCTTATAATTTTGTTTATATGTTTTTTCATAACCAGCAATGTATATTATATGTCACGAATAAGTGATAATTGTGTTTTAATTATATTTGATTTTTTGGTTGCATGTGACCTTTAACTGAGAAAATGTAATCGCAAATAATTGTGTTAGCAACCCATGCTTGTCGTAAGAGGCGACTAAAAGGATCAGTTGGTCAGGCATGCCATAGTATCCCAACAGCGCAGATCAATGCTCATGCTGTTATTCACCCGATTGTCTCGACCAGACTTGAGTATTTGCGGACCGACCTAATATAGATGGAGCGAATTTTTAAAACAAACCAAATTTGAATACTATGTCTCAATAAATCGATGTTCACCCGGACGATTTCAATGGGACGGTAATGTCTGTTTAACGGGGTCGCACACGCACACGCACACGCACGCACGTACACAAGCACACACACAGATAGATAGATAGATAGATAGATGTGTCAGAATCGCCTTAGGGGTAGACTAATGCTTAGTCTCTGAATATATATAATTTTATATACAAGCCCATTTAACTTGAAAAGGAGCCCCAGGGAGACCAGAGATTCAGAACCTTAGGAAATCTAGACTTGCCTTATTTAGGGCTTTAGCAGTGCAGAGAGGGCTAGGCAGTAGGGAAAGTAATGTGGTTCAGGGACTGTGAGACAGACTACCTTACGGTTAGTCTGTCGTACAGACCCTGAAGCAAATATATCCAAGAAAGCCCACGCAAGTCTAGAAAATGTGGCAAGTCTAGATTTCCTGAAGAAAGTCTCAGGGCTCCTTTTCATTACATTTTATGTTTTGTTACTATGAACTTTTTTCAGTAAAATATGTTCATTTCAGAGACTAGTTGTTAGTCTACCTTACGGGGTACATACGTGTGTGTGCGTGCGTGTGTGTATCCCCTCTAACACATTTTGCCAATAGCGTTTTAAATTTAATTTCATTTACCCCGACGCGTTTACTGTCACGATACGTTATCACGTTTCAAGTGTGAATTGAGGAAATCCAGCTCCTTTAGCCGCCTTGGTGAGGGTGACCTAGCTACAGCCTGCTAGCTTACAGGGGAATACAGCTCTTCACTGATCACCTCCCCAGCATGACTGTCGTAATCTCGGCGGTGTGGGCGGTTCGTACCTTCACCATCGTGTTACGGAATGCTCACAGAGGCGTTAAGTTATTTAGTCCCGTATGCCAGTGAGTAACGTGTTTTCGTTGTAGCTGAATCATCGTGTCATCATGTACATGGGGTATATATAAAATATGTCTTGACTAATAGTTTATTTTGAAAACCTGTTTCCCCTGTATTTTGTTGTGGAGATTGCCGGTGGTCCTTATGCGGGGCTTGGAAGGGGAGGGAGAGGCGGGGTTGATTTGATCTCTACCACGTTTGAAATGTTGTAAATTTGTGTCAAAAATGTATTTCTTTATTTTGAAAGACACCATTCAGCAGCCCTATGGAAGTTTTGGAACTTTTAACAGTTTAAACCAAACAATATTAAAACAAATAAAACCACGAGGAGGTATACTGTCTAATACACATATTGTTTCCATCAAATATTGCTGACTTTATTTTCAGCTGAGGAACAAACTTACTACATACAGATAATTACCACATTCCTTTCACGTACGGGTCTAATCGTTTCAGTTATTCATGATTAAAAATGAAACTTAAGATGCCTCAGAAGGATATCACAGATTCAAGTGTACATGCTGACCAGTTAAACGTCTCACGGGCTGTTTGGATTGTATACTTCCCAAGGAGTTGAGAATGCAATTTCTACATTCCTCCGTGGTAGTACTTGTACGCGCTGTCAGACACCATATAATATGGTCTATTATATGGTCTCTGGCGCTATGAACAAACTTTGCATGGAATTGCAAAGTACAAATGTACTTTATGAGTAATAAGTTTAAAACATATAGTCGTACGTGACATCCAAAGATACAAAGTGGGTCATGTTTGTTGGGTTGAAACGAGACGCGGCCCTTGTGTCATGAATTACCCGACAACCTAGTCCAGCGTATAACTAGACGCGACCCTTGTGTCATGAAGTACCCGACAACCTAGTCCAGCATATAACTAGACGCGACCCTTGTGTCATGAAGTACCCGACAACCTAGTCCAGCATATAACTAGACGCGGCCCTTGTGTCATGAAGTACCCGACAACCTAGTCCAGCATATAACTAGACGCGACCCTTGTGTCATGAAGTACCCGACAACCTAGTCCAGCATATAACTAGACGCGACCCTTGTGTCATGAAGTACCCGACAACCTAGTCCAGCATATAACTAGACGCGACCCTTGTGTCATGAAGTACCCGACGACCTAGTCCAGCATATAACTAGACGCGACCCTTGTGTCATGAAGTACCCGACAACCTAGTCCAGCATATAACGAGACGCGGCCCTTGTGTCATGAAGTACCCGACAACCGAGTCCAGCATATAACTAGACGCGACCCTTGTGTCAGGAAGTACCCGACAACCTAGTCCAGCATATAACTAGACGACTTATACCAAGGTGTGCTCGATGTAGGCCTTGGCTGGAATACGAGTTTATTCATATGAACTACCGACAACCTAGTCTGTCTCACAGTCCCTGAACCACATTATTTTCCCTACTGCCAAGCCCTCCCTGCAATGCTAAATCCCTGCAATGCTAAATCCCTGCAGTGCTAAATCCCTACATGAAGCAAGTCAAGATTTCCCCAGGTTCCCAACTCACTGGGGCTCCTTTTCAATTTTTAATGGGTTTATTTGTTACTATCAACATAATATATATTCAGGGACTAAGCATTAGTCTACCGACAACCCAATACAGGTGGAATCTGGTCGCTTCAAACAAATGTGACCCGACTGTATGCTACATACATGCGTGTCGGTCGCAGTGGTTGTACATACGAACACATGCATGCATCTAGAATGTCCCGTCATGCCATGGATTGAATCAGGGCTTGTTGTCGTTGTAACGATGACAGGACGCCCTCGCTATACCGCGCCCAGTTACCCGGTGTTGCATTGTGCATGTCTGTCGTTGAGGAGAGTTAAGACCTATGCTGTTGAGCTGTTTTAGTGTGCCGGGTTTCACCATCATCATCATCATCATCATCAGTTCAAGATGTAAGTAATGTAAATTTCCGATTGGAGATCAATGTGAACTTTTCATATTTGGTCGAATGCCAGATGTTTAGTTCAGTTTTTTAATAAAAACTATTCATCTGTCAGTACAGATATTTGCCCCTGATATTTTCAACCATTAAGTTGCCTGTCCACGACGTGTGTATGAAGTGTGTGTTGTTGTTGTTCATGCTGTTGCTCTGTAACCATGGTAACACGTTGGTTATAAATATAGGCGTCCTCTAAATAACAGTCTGCATAAGAGGTGAGGTGAAGTGAAATTGGGTTTAACGTCGTACTTGAGAATATTTCGATCATATGACGATGTGCATGCGTGTGTATGTGCGGCTGCTTGTACTAGCCCAGACTGAAGCTGGTTTTATACTAGCCCACTGAGATACCATGCCGCAGTGAAACATGAATACCCCACTCAGACACATTATACTGACTCCGAGCCGACCAGTCCTTGTTGTACCCATTAATGCCGAGCGCCAGGCAAGGACCAACAAGTACCATAGGTTAACGTCTTTTGGTATGACGCGGTCGGGGATCGAACCCGCGACCTTCCGCTCTCCGGGCGGACGCTGTAACCACTACACCACGGAGGGGGTTGCGACATGACAGACACATATGTAGCATCGACAGTCGAAAGTCGAATGAAACATTTACTCATTCAGATCAATACAGTTCTCAGGGAGTTGGGTTATCGGTAGACTAACCCCTTAATCTCTGACTATATATAATTTTGATAGTAACAAACAAACCCATTTAAATTAAAAAGGAGCCCTAGGGAGACCAGAGATTCCTGGGGAAATCTAGACTTGCTTCATTTAGGGCTTTAGCACTGCAGAGAGGGCTAGACAGTATTGAAAATAATGTGGTTCAGGGACTGAGACAGACTAGGTTTTAAGCTTATTTGAATGTTGTTCCAGTTATGTCACGGTGTGTCTGCTTGTGGGAGAAAACCCCGAAGTAATGCATGTCTTAGACTTTTGTCACTTTGGTAAAAGTGGCGATCACGTGTATGGTGTTGATGGACCTAGAAACAGTTGGGTAAACTGGGATTCGAACCCAAAATCATAGTTTCTGGCGTACCAAGGGACGCAACTCTGCACGTCGATTTCCGGCTTCTGAGGGAACTGGGCCACCCGTGATTAACACTGATTCATGACTGTCGCAATAGCTCATACCCATGATACAATCACTGTTTGCGGCGTGTTCGTGATTCATGATTCAGTGTCGGTCACATGTATGCTTGCCCCTTGATACAATCAATGACTAACTTCTCAAAATCCTTCAATAAAAGTCAAAATCCTTTCCACTTTTACAATGAGTGAGGGAATAAGGTTTTACGCCGATTTAGCAATATTCCAGCGGAACACTACGAATGGGCTTCACACATTTATCCATGTGAGGAATCGAACCCGGGTCCTCGGCGTGGCGAGCGAACGCATTAACCACTAGGCTATCCCACCGCCCCTTTGCACGACGCTTGTCGTATCTGCTTCGGTTAAACAAACGATGCTAATTTCGTTCAAAATATTTATTTACAAATGGAATTAATGAGACGAGTTGCGGCTCCACATCACCGGGATTGCACAAGCCTGAGATAAAGATACATCCAGAAGGGCGCTGGTCGCACTGACCAGTCCACACTGACCAATCGGACACACCCATGGTTCATAAATTACTGTATATGTACATACGACAGTGTAATACACGTTTACTTCACGACTGTCTAAACGGTTCAGTATGGCTGATTCAAACACGGACACATTAGTGAGTTCAGGTGTTGTGTAAAATATGTCTGCCCGAATAGTTAGTATGGTTTAACACCGCTTTTAGGAATATTCCACCAATTTCATGGCGGGGGACACCAGAAATGGGCTTCACACTGTACCCATGTGGGGAATCGAACCCGGGTCTTCAGCGTGACGAGCGGACGCTTTAACCACAAGGCTACTCCCACCGTCGTCTGACCGCAAGCTGTACACGAGTTACAACATATGATAAACTATTCAGTGAGATGGATAGTGCTGTAGCCATGGCAACGGTTTGAATCAAGTTGAAAACAACGAAATTTACAGCAATTTTCAATTTATAAACTGCTTTCAGAAACCATTCCAAACAAATAGTTACCATGGCATCGGTTTTAACACCGAACCATTTAATCCTCAATATATGCAAGTGTCAACTGTTCTCCTGGAAACTCTGCCAAACGTCAGTGTATACGAATCAACCATACCAGCAGTTGAGCATGTTCTAGACAGAAAACAGTTCAACCCGCCCTGTTCAACCAGTGCGGGAACACGCCTGCAGTGAAATTGTTCTAAATGTTTGTTCAACACACATTACACTATAGGACCGAGTCCATCTGGAACACAGTTCTGTGTCACGATTCTGTGTCGCCCAACACCACCACAGACACGACCTCGACTCCATCACAAAACGTTCTAGAAAAATACTTCCTTTACACCCGATCACACAAACGTGGGAATTTCATCATATCCGTTTCCAAATAATATACATAAAATGTTTCAAAACAATTCATTAATGAAACCAACTGCACGGAATAAAAAATATACAAATTAAGTTTTTAGATATTACAACACCAGTCCTTTGAATTATTTCGTTTCGTCAGTTCATAGGAGGAGATGTTCTGCTGGCTGCACACTTGGTTCGCGTCCTAAAACTATACCGAGATATCGTGGCGTGTATCTGGGGCGTGCCGATTGTTGATGCCGGAGTTAATAGCGGCGTTGCATAGCACCTCGCTACCATGCAGGACACATCGGGTGGCGTCTGTCTATTCAATTGCAATGTTTTGCATTTGTTCGCCTAGCGACGTCGCCCTCCGTCAGTTGCGTTCGATCGCCTCGCTTCCCATTATGATAATGTTCTGCAGATTCCAAACACACACATACCTTCCAAAATCCTCACAGCGCAAACGATGAAACTGACGAAGTTTGCGTGACATCGTTCTCATACCTGCTAGACAAATATCTAGCGGTTTCTGTCAAATGATGCAACAAATCGAACAGACCTTTCAAGTGATGTCTAAATGCAGCTGCCGTTTTTCTTGAATTGTTGCCATTATCGTCCGACTCGCTTTCTTCTTTCGTTGCCTCTTCGCTCACACCGGCCGGGGGGCCCGTGATTATCTCCTGTTTGATAGCGTTCAGCATTGAGTAGAAACTGTACAAGTCCGCTCCGGCAGGTAACGTGGGTAAAACAGCTTTGTTGTTATTTTCCACTGTTATTTCAGGCCTAGCTGTGACTTCCATGTCTCGAAGCCGGCATGGTATCATAACCGTGTCGTCCATTGCATTTACAGCCTGCACGAATCTATTGAGTGCCGCTAGCAGTGACTGCTGGTTACTGTCGCTAGAATGATACACTGTGTTCTCACGTCTGTCGTTCTCCATGGCGAATGTTTTCTCTCAAACGAACACTGATGAATGCTAGCAAATAGTCCACGATCACACTTTTATAAAGTATGTCTGTCGTGCTGCTTCGTACACTCTCAAGGTTGCCGGTATCCACTGTAAATTGATTATAGCAATACTTTGTTCCGGGTAGGTCTATCGCGGCATTATGGAGGGGTGATAGGTTGTATCAATATTGTTTCAAACCAATCGGTAAAGATACATAACATCCCTAAAACATTTACATCAAAGACAGATGTATTGTCGGACTAGTAAATAAATTTGATTTTACTGTGTGATTTGTTTGCAATTTTGTATCAAGAAATATAGATCGCCTCGCCCCCACAAAAATAATGGACTATTCGCTACAACAGCTGAGAGGTTAGGTCAAAGTACGGCGCGCCGATTGGCTATTGCTGATCATGTTCTCTTGAAGTGATTCAGCCTCGAAGGGCGAGGTTGAACGATCACATTGAAGCGGAATTCCACATGTTTGTGGAGCAAGAACGAGTAGCAGCTCGCGCATAAAGCCGCTGATGAAATCGCCTGTGTAAGCCGGTGCGTCGGCCCCCGAGTAGCTGCCGTAACGACCGAAGCGTTGCGACCAGCATTCCAAATGCACTCCTGTCACGGAAACTGTCGACTTTTCACGACTTTGTGTGGCATGGTCCACTGACGATGATCTGTTATGAATCGGACAATAATTAACTGTTTTCAAAAGTTGGAAGGTTGAGACCTATTATTAAGAACAAAGCCTTTCTTAAGCCTGCATTGCTTTATGTTTAATTCAATAAACTTAATAAGATGAGAATGAGTACTTAACATCACGTGCATTAGGTGTGATAAGATTAAGAGACGTGTTATAGATGTATGACACCATGCGTCATTAGTGTAATATTGATGTACTGAAAACATCAAGGTGACAACGCTTATCTTTTTTGCATATTTTCACATTTTGTACTTTTATTGTTTTTGAAAGAAACCGCTCATAATCTGAGGTTAATCAGTCTCATTTACCCATAACCCACCTACATAATATATAAAAACGTTTTATGAGTGAGTGAGTGAGTTTAGTTTTACGCCACACTCAGCAATATTCCAGCTATATGGCGGCGGTCTGTAAATAATCGAGTCTGAACCAGACAATCCAGTGATGAACAGCATGAGCATCGATCTGCGCAATTGGGAACCGATGACATGTGTCAACCAAGCCAGCGAGCCTGACCACCCGATCCCGTTAGTCGCCTCTTACGACAAAAAACGTTTTATGAATAATTATGCTATGTGAATACTTTTAAAAATTCCTACCACAAACTGCGTACCCATCAAGACAGATTCATCTTTCTTCAGCAATGTTTAGGGGGTGGTAGGGTAGCCGAAGACCCGGGTTCGATTCCGACATGCATGGGTACCGTACAATGTGTGAAACCTATTTCTAATGTCTCCCGACGTGATATTGCTGGAATACTGCTAAAAGCGGCGTAAAACTAAACTCATTGAGAGAGAGAGAGAGAGAGAGAGAGAGAGAGAGAGAGAGAGAGAGAGAGAGAGAGAGAGAGAGAGAGAGAGAGAGAGAGAGAGAGAGAGAGAGAGAGAGAGAGAGAGAGAGAGAGAGAGAGAGGAGGTATGTGCATACACACACACGCACATACATAGAGAGAGAGCCTCTTAATCAGTTACTAGACCTGTCCTGATTTTAGATATATTGGAAAGGATGTGAGTCAAATCATGTTTATTTTTGTGTATACACGTACTAGTATGTTTTGGTCTGTATGTGTTCTTGTGTTATCTGTGTTATTGTGTTATCTGTGTTATTGTGTGCATGTTTATTGATAAATGATTTGTTGTTTAACGCTGCTTTCATCGATTTTCCGGCTGTACGATGACGAGTCGGGCATGACAATCCAGTGATCAACATCAAGAGCATCGATTTACGCAACTGGGATACGATGACATGTATCAACCAAGTCAGCGAACCTGACCACCCGATCCCGTTAGTCGCCTCTCTAAAATGGTTTTCTGATCATTGTGCTATATGTCCTTCATGATAAGCCTGTTCTCCGTGTGTACGTTGTTGCCTGTATCTATATGTCTGTGTCCACCTGGATGTGTGTCTGGCTTCCGTTGTACGGTTGTCATTCATTATAAATCTTAGGCGAATATGTGAATTTGTTTATCTTGATATGTGTGTTCTTTACAATCATGTATTTGTGTCTGTTTGGTTAAAATATGTGTGTGATTGTATGATTGTATATTCGTGATTGTTGGTTCTGCAGCTTGCTGTCACGAGTTGTCTCCCTTGACGCTATGCGGTTCTCGGGACTGTTCCCTGGGCTGTTCTCGAGACTGTTCTCGGGACTGTTCCCTGGGCTCTTCTCGGGACTGTTCTCGGGACAGTTCTAAATAAGTAAAGGAATACCTATGACTTTACATACTGTATCCATGCGGGGAATCGAACCCGGGTCTTCGGCGTGACGAACGAACGCTTTACGGTGCTGACTCGGTTACCTGAAGTTTAATCTCCCTGACTCCTTCACTATTTTGTCGTTGCTATATGGCTGAAATAATGCCAATGGATGCGACGTTAGATTTTAACTCACTCACTCATATGGTTGATGCAGTCATCGTATCTCAGTCGCGTAGAGCGACGCTTAATCACTGGATTGTGTGGTCAAGATTGTTTACAGATCGCCGTCATATGGTTTCTAAAATGCTGAGTGCAAAGCTTAACAACAAACAAACACAAATGATGAAAACTATGGGAAAAACATAAAAATTCGTTCACATGTAATTATACTGATATTGGCATTCCGAGTAGACATGACTGACATTTGTGTATGTATCATTTCAACAATAACATCTTCCCCACGTGGGCGTCATAAGCGTCACGTGTGTTTAACAAGTAGGTAACAATGGCCAAACTCGAAATGAGGGGCAACATAGTGTGTTTATTTCACTTTGATTTGATGACAAATTAAAACATGACAATAAAATCATAACAAGTTATTCGACACCATACTGTGGGCTCCAATAGCACTCACAAACAACGCACCCACCGCCTGCTAGAGCTATTTGGCACACAACTAGTGTTTTATTAAATTGCTGACAATGCACAATATTATCGAACACCTGACCAGTCAATTACTGACAGTAAACGTTTCCTTGAAACTCTATCAATCTATTTTTTTTATTAGATTGCTCTGGCTTCCCATTTTAGACAGAATCCAATACAAACTCATCGTTCTTGTTTTAAGATGTCTCAGTAACCTAGCTCCAAAGTATCTATCTAACCTGATCACCAGATCTCAGCCCAACCGAAGTCTCCGATCTGAAGAACATGGTGTTCTTGTTGTCCCACACTTTGAGTCCAGTACCAAGTTTGTGGATCGATCATTTAAGATGGCAGGACCCACTCTCTGGAATCAACTTCCACCAGAAGATTTTCAAATCTAAACTGAAGACATACCTTTTTAAGAAAACATACAGTGTCTGACTTTTAATTCTCGAGCTGTCCGGAGAGTGCTACTGGGCGGTACTTTTGGACTGGAACTGGCGCTATATAAATCTTTTTATGATGATGATGATGATGATGATTATATTTTCCTGCTGATAAAACTTGGAAAATGAAACAAGTACATACAGCTAATTAATTACATGATAAATTGTCTATGAAAATATGCACTTAGAAATATGTAGAATAGAAGATAATAGAATTATTGTATAATTAGGAATCTATATACCTTTCCGAAATGATGATTACTGAATTGTAACAGTTAAAGTACATTTCAATGCCACATGTAGGTTTCATAAATATATATACACTGAATCTGGAAGCGTCAACGCTAAAGAATTATCAGTTTTAAATATCTGACAGATTCCAAGGGCAATACATGAATGGTAATATGATACAATTTCAAAAACGCTGGATTTGAATGTTTACCACTTTTCATGGGAGCATGAATCTCAAACACGTGTATTTTTTTTCCAATGTAAACAACTATCATGTGCTCAAATAAAAAAAAGGGTAAATAACGCTTAAGCAGTGTCACGGCTCGCCGCAAAACACACGTCTACGTGCCGTGGGTATGCTGCAAATAGAAATTGTTGAGAACGATGTAACCAGACAATGGAATGGTCATCGAAACACAACATCATTTCTTAGGACACAGCAGGGCAGCGCTCATGATTTGCCGCGGGCCGTTCATTCAGAAAATAACCATATTCTATTGGTGCATCTAGGGAATACAAACCAAACTACCACATTAACAGCTCGATCCACCCAATTTTGCTTCCACGCCACCTTAAAGCACGCCTAGCCCAGCATCAGAGATTCAGATTGAGTGAGTTTAGTTTTACGCCGCTTTTAGGAATATTCCAGCAACATCTCCGCGGTGGACACCAGAAAGTGTCTTCACACGTTGTACCAATGCGGGGAATCGAACCCGAACCCGAACTCTTGAACAACTAAGCTACCCCATCACCCACAGCAAGCAACAAAAACATTACATGTTGTTAAGTATCATTATTGGGTCAAGTTGACACAGACAATTATAAACAGATTCAGATACTGGTTATTTGTACACTTTCACAGATGACTCATGGTTTCATCTCTGAAACAGCTTGGTCGGTCATGCAAAGGTCTACTGGCATCCAGACGAACATTTTAAGTAGCGAATGTGTCAGTTTGGGGATCGAAGTGTAATGTTATGGGGTGGTATTACGTCTCATAAATGTAATTGGCACTAAATGTTTCACGCTACCTTACGTAAATGCACGGACGTTTGTCGGGTTGCGATGGAATGTGTCTAGGGTGAAATGGAACGACGTCTACGACAGGACCAGAACCAGCCGGTACCACTGACTCGTTTCGGCCAATGGTGTTTTCAATCGCCCAGAGTTAGCTGTTCTCCCCACCTATCACCCCATAACCTTTTTTTCAGAATGTGTCGCTCTGTCTCTTATTTCAGGTGTAGATTTTGTCAGTGAATTTGCTGTAATAAAACATTGATCAGACGAATGACCAAATATTCCGTGGTTATTTTCACAAACATTCAATTTTCATTACCTTACATGAAGCAGAGTTAATTATTTCTGTCAGTATAGATGAAGTTCGGGACATGATGAAATAGAGTAGGCGTGG